CCAGGCTCAAAACATGTCAAGGAACTCGATAGCAGCGAGTCCGGATTCGTCCAACCTGCTGCAGGTTTCTCAGTGGTCGCAGTCGGCACAACCTGTCAGCTCCCCTCACCCCCTAACCTCCCTACCTGGGCCCAATGACAGGTAACAGCTCGGAGTGTGTTCATGTGACGTATGATTGCCCTGTCCCTTTTTCATGTTCAACTGTGTAAAAACAGACCTCTACAAAATGATCTCAAGATAAACAAAGAACCCCATAAAATAAGTGATTGCATAAAGGATCAGCCCCTTCTTGTAAATATTTAGTGGAAGCACTTCAGGGAGCACAAACATTGAGTCTGTGGATGGGTCTGTATCAGGCGGCTTTGTATCTGTAGCTCTGGTTGCAAAGGAACCCTGAGGTTTGGTTTTTTGTCCACTAGGGGGCAGAAGAAACATTTAATCACCCCTCTGAGCTCCCACACAGGTGTTTCCAGTTAACCTGTCTGATTAGACCTCTCCTCAGGACTGCGTGGGCGTGTATCCTGTTATTGATTGATGTCTTCCTGAGTCACCGGTTAGCTTTGTTGCACCTATTAGAGTGGGACAAATCACCCCTTTATCATTCTTACAGGAGATTTGTGATAAATTCCCACAGTGCTCTGAGAAGAGGTCCACCTGTGTGGGCGGACACAGGCTTTAAGTAAGTTAGCAAACATCCAGCAGACATAAAGCAACATTACCGCAGCTTATACGACCGTTTGTAAGCCGGAGCTGTCCTGTATTGACAAGAAGACCTTTAATTTGTTAAAAGGAACGTTTCTGTGTACAATAAAGTTGCATTACAAAGAGTCTAATAATAATAATAATAACACAAATCTACTCCTTCTCACCATAAATACTTGGGTCCTACACCGCCTGTATCCCAGCACAAACTCTAGTCTTAATGCTAAGTTTAAACAAATCGGTTTCTATGAAACCTCAACGTCCGTACTTCCAACATCCACAATGTCTCTCTTCTTCAGTATTATATTCCTTTAAATAATTATGGAAAATGGTATTTAATACCGTAACATTGCCCCTGCAGTGAACCTCTCATTTCACAGGAAACACCGAGTCATGTGATCTATTATATAATTATTGATTATAGTCGCTTTAAGCCTGCGTGGTGTTGGTAGTGAAGCTTCAGGAAACGGATTAACCGGCTGTTAAATCTTCCCGATACAGACGTATTTAACCTAAAACCCATTGTTGCACTCTGATTATACGCAGATGATCTCAGTTTATTATATGTTTAACAGTCGGCTGCACAGGGGAGAGTTTAGGTGTGACATGTTTTGTTGCTCGTGTGATGTTTTATTGTGCGTTCAGTCGGGGTTGGCGGTTGGTGAATGTGTTTGTGTATAAATATGCTACATATGTTTTTGTAGGTCAGTGCGTTTTCTCCCCCAGTAGAATACTAGGCGTATTGTACATATGGTGGCGGTCTCATGATGAATCTGGGCTAACGACCTCTGTTTGTGTTCAGTGACGCTGCACCGCGTCTGCTGCAGGAGAACCAGAAGTACCTCAGTCAGCTGACCAGCCTGATGCAGGAGGCTGCGGACGGACAGACCAAAAGCATAGTGGTGAGTTCACTTGTGAAGTTGTTTAACTCAAGAAGCTTTGAGCTTTAATCTGAATTAATTTTGAGATTTAATATGAGACAGAAAAGAAGTAAGATGAAATATGTAACTAAATCAATTAATTATTTGTTCATCATATTATCATCATCATAATGTTTTTAGTAATAAATTAACTTTAATTCATTCATTCAAATCAGGATACATAAACATGCACGGCACATATTAAATACCACACCCCACTAGGGGTCGCCAAAGCTTCACAAAGAGTCACAAGGCCTTCTTGATTGTAAGGGATGTAAGAAAATTAAAAAAAAAATACACAGTAGGTTGATATCTCAGCGTTTCGTTCATTTCTGTAAAGAAAACTAAATTGTTCTTTTTAAAGTTTAGATTATTTAAGATATAAACATTGAAGCTGTATTCACAGAGCCTTCACTCTGGTGAACAGCCTCGTCCTGCTTTATTAAAGTTCAAAGAGCTGATAGAACAATGAGAAAATGATGAATCTGTTAAAGTTAGAAATGATAAAAATACATAATACAGACCAACTATTGTATATTCATCCAAATTGTTTGTTTTACACAAGACATTTTTGTTTCATTCCTGTAACGTGTTGGTTTTTCCTCTTCCAAGGACCAAGACTGGAGCTGGACGAAATATGAAACTTTAACAACAAAATTAAAAAAGAGAAATGCGTGAGCGGCGCCGCGTCCTCCGTCCCCGCCCGTGCTCCGAGTAACACTACAGACTGTAAAGCAGAGTGGCGTCACACGTTGTACAGTTGTACATGGACTCGGGATATTCTCTCCTGATCTTCTCCGGGGGGGGGGGGAGAAAAGAAGAAAATATAAAAGACGGAGTTCACACATGCTCAGTGGCGTCTGTCCACTTCCATCGTCTCACATGGTGGAAGGTTTGATCAATGAATATTCTTGTTTTTATAAGAGAAAACAACGAAGCTGTGTCACTCCACGTTTTCCTTTTTGCTGCACAATATTCATCATAATTCAATAAAAAAAAA